ATTGGCCTGGGGGTCAATTCCTCTCAGGGACGCCAACAGCAACCAAGGCTCAACTCCAACAGGACAGTGCACTCAGCCCACACAGCAGAGCACCTAGAAGGCCCAGCTCAGGTGACTGGGGAGGCTGAGCCACTGGACCCTACAGGACACCTACTACACAAAGCCACTCTACAAATTCCAGGAGACACAGCAGCTCTACCTAATACATAGAAACAAACACCTGGAAGCAGCTAAAAGTGGAGGCAAAGAAACATATCACAAAGGAAAGAACAGAAGAACTCTCTAGAAGAGGAACTAAATGAAATAGATCCAAGCAAGCTAACAGACACAGAGTTCAGAATTTTGTTTATAAGGATGTTTAAGCAGACTATTAGGGAAATAACTGAGAAAATCGATAACATAATAAAGTACCAATCAGAAATGAAGGCTACACAAACTGAAATGAAGAATAATTTACAGGGAATCAACAGCAGAGTAGAGGACAATGAGAATCAAATCAGAAAACTGGAACATGAGGAAACAAAAAACACCCAACCAGAAGAGCAAAAAGAAAAAAGAACCCAGAAATATGAAGATAGTGTAAGGAGTCTCTGGGACAACTTAAGAGGCCCAACATTCGTATTGTTGGGGTACTAGAAGGGAAAGAAAGATATCAAGAAATTGAAAACCTATTTGAAAAAATAATGACAGAAAACTTCCCCTACCTGGGGAAAGAAATAGACTTACAAGTCCAGGAAGCACAGAGGGTCCCAAACAAGAGGAACCCAAAGAGACCCACAGCAAGACACATCGTAATTAAAGTCCCAAAGGTTAAAGACAAAGAGAGACTCTTAAAAGCAGCAAGAGAAAAGCAATTAGTTATCTACAAGGGAGCACCCATACGACTGTCAGCTGATTTCTCAACAGAAACCTTGCAGGCCAGAAGGGACTGGCAAGAAATATTTAAAGTGATGAAAAACATGGAACTACAACCAAGATTACTCTACCCAGCAAAGCTATCATTTAGAACTGAAGGTCAGGTAAAGAGCTTCACAGATAAGAAAAAGCTAAAGGAGTTCACCACCACCAGACCAGCACTACAGGAAAAGTTGAAGGGTCTTCTTTAAGAAGAAGCTAATGAACAAAAGAATCTGACGAACTAAATAGACTCAGAGACATTGTCGCATGCAACAGACGATCATATTTCAGAGGAACAGAGGCTTTGTGTGTCACCCCAGCCTGAGCCTACACTGCCCCCTACTGGCAAGCTCTGCCCTTGCTGCAGGCTTAACGGGGTCAGAAGTCCCCTCTGCCACCTGACTTGAGTCTGGGGTCTGACAACAAACACAAGAGAGTCAGAAGATCAGTGGGGGATATGCAGGCATTGCCCCTTGATCCACACACCTGAAGGACCATCTCCCTGATAGGGATGACTCAATGACAAACACCAGAAGTCATTCAGTGTCCCAGCTTCACAGGTATGTTGACTTGTGCAGTCACACAGGGCCCCATCCTTAAAACAGCCCCATGCTTGGTTCAGTACACTCCTATCATCATCTTGAAATTCTTCATGTTTGAAAAAGGGGCCCCACATTTTAATTTTGAATCAGGCCTTGCAAGTTACGTAGCCAGCCCTAATTCTCTTTGTCCAGGTGACCAGAGGCCTGACCAAGAATACATAAGAAGTTCTGTGGGCAGCTCTGAGGGCTCTGTGGACCTTGGGACTGGTCAGTTGGGAGTAGGCCCTCTCTGCTAGGCTGTGTTTCCCCAGCCATCCATTGGCTGGGCCTAGAAGTTAGGAAGGTAGATTGATGCACTGATCCAGTTTTTTGCGGAGCAGCTGGGCTGAAAGGAGAGGGCCATGAGGTTATCAAGGGCATTGATGAGAAGGCAGTTCAGATGGTTCATCGAGGGGTTCAGAGTGAGGAGAAATACCTGGAAGGCCAGTAAGTTCTGTTAGAAGGGGGCAAAAAACAAAAACTTAAGGCCCACAGAGTCCTAGTGATGTCAAAGAACAGACATGAGCGGAGTGAAGGCAGGGATGTTAGGAGCCAGCTCACAGAGTGTAGCGGAAAAGACTCAGGCCGTACACCGGAGGAGGCGAAAAGAGACCTTTATTAAGAGACCTTTATGCGGTCCCAGAGGAGGCAGTCTCCAAATTCTGGGCCCCGAACAAAGGGCTTGGGTCAGCTTTATAGGGTCATAGGTCGGGCCTGCTTTTGGCTCGAAAATAGTGGGCGGGGTTACAGAGGTCAGATAAGGTTACATATACATTCAGGCAGGTAATCTGATACCTGAAATGGGGAATCCTCCTAAAATGGCGGTGGTTCCTACCTCAAGAGCAATATTTAAATTTTCAGGAATTTTGTGAGCCTGTTGTTAACCCACTGGTCACTTGAAATTGGACGTGGAGAGAGTACTGACACCAAGGAAACAGGGGATATTGGGTTTAAGATTTCAGAAAGTTCTGTGTGATGATAATGTGCTACGTTGTTAAGGCCATGGGATGGCTGAAGGGGAGAGGAGGTGTGGTTCCTTGGAATCCAGCAAGGCTAGTTGTTCACCTCAATGCTGACGATGGCAGGCCTTGGGATGGAATGAGGCACCAAAGTCTCCAGTGAAATGAAGAGTCCAGGGGATCACTTCAGGACATCATCAAAGCAGAGCAGAAACTGAATGAATATGCGCTGTGACAAAGACTTCTGACTGTCCGCCATCATCCCCTCTCTCCCTCACTCTCATAGCACAACCCTCCCTCCCCCCAATTTTTAGCTGGGTACATGGTTACCCTTCCCAGCTTCCTATGTAGTTACCTACGGTCATGCGACTATCTCCTGGCCAACATAATGTGAGCAGAAGTGATGCCTGCAACTTGTGGGTCTCACTCTTAAAGGAATGACAAGAGCCATTCCTGGTGCCCCAATTTTTTTTTTTTTCCTTTCTGTTGGCTGGGATGTAGACACAGAAGCCAGGCATCTCGGACCTTGCCGATGAGGGTCTGAGATGCCCTCCTATCACCATCTTGAAATCCTTCCTATTTGAAAAAGGGTCCTTCTTACTGCCCCTCCCGTCCCCACGTCCAACCCATCCTGTCAGTTCTTCCTGCAGGTTATAACCTGAGCCTGTCCGCTTCTCAGCATCACCTTGGTCGCCACCACCCCTCACCTGGGTCGCCCCAGTAGCTCCCTGAACTCCTCTCTCGCCTCTGCCCTGGGCCCCCTGAGGTCCATCCTATTCACAGAAGCCAGAGGAATCTTGGCAAACATAAACCAGAGCGAGTCACTCTCCCGGCTTGAAATCCTTCTCTAGGCGACGTGCTCAGGGGTTTGTTGAAAGCCTTCATTTACCAGATGGCGATTTTACGTGTTTTCAACGTCCTCCGTTGGCAAAAGAAAAAGCTGCCAATTCTGTGTGGCTCGTCGGGGACTGTTGCACTGCTGCACCGGCCGCAAGGCCCCCCTACAACACGGCTGTTCTCGGGGTGGCGGGGGAGACGGGAGGGGCGCGGCGCC